ACAGATGACAACTTAAACCACAACAATGGCAATCCAAATCTGTTTGTTTTTGTGTGAAATTGGGGTCAAATTTGTCTATTTTTATTTACAATAAAATATCTAATAAAAAGAAGCTGATACATAAATTGAGTTATTTGTGGTCCTAGTGCTTAAATTTCAACTTTACAATTACATACCCATACAACATTAAAATTACAAGCCAGTAGCATAGCATTAAATTTAGTCGCTTCCCATCTCAGATGAAATTCAACAGAATCGACCCTTATGTGTTCTTCTCACAATTCTACATTTCGCTCACAATTCCTGCCTTATGATTTGTCTATATGCTAATTGCATAAGCACACCATATAAATAAAAGTAATAACAGCAAATCTAATTTCTTCCAAGCATCTCATGAAAAACACTAAAACATTTGTTTTATAATATGAGATTATTTTAATAGCTTTGCAAATTTAGGCAAGAAATATATCACCATAAATCTAGCAGACTGTAGAAAGTATAAAGCTTTCACCACTATCTCTCTGCGGCTACAAATGTTTATTCCCAATGTTGCTCGTGTCTGGCAACATATTGTAATTTTTAATTCCTGGCAGAATTAATGTAAATGAGACATTATGTTAAAAAATACACACAGTGACCTTTGCATACATTTTTCTTGATTTCGATATTATCTACAGGAATACATATTCTGAAACATTGTTTAACATGAGAATTCTTCATAGGGATGTTTTACTTTTTTTTTTTCACTCTTTTATTCAACTTTAATTATTGAAGACAGAAAAGCATTCATATTAATACAGAATTGGACTTTCCATTAACCCAATGGGTACCAGTATATATACAAGGTGATTTATACTGTTTGGTTCTATTTAGTCTTAAAAGTCATGTGGTTTTCATTCTTCATTGGTATTCCAGTGGTCTGTGGCAGGAGAGATAAGATCAGTCTTAATGAATTAATACACAGTTTATGTAATTCATCAGTAATTAATTAAGCAATTGACCATTAACTATATATGTAAGCGAGACGTTGAGGTATATAATATATTCAGATTATGGAGTGTTCATTTTAACATTATAATGTATTTGATAACAATACATTCAATTGGGTTGCACATTGGGAAACGACTTTTTCAAAATAACATTGCATCTTTCAGTTTTTGGAAGAGTCCCTTTTTAATTATGTATTAAATACTTTTTTTCTTCATTAAAATTTGAATTGCCAAAGAAATACCATATTTTTAACCAAGATACAAAATAGCAGATCTTTACATTTAACCTATTTTGGTTTGGTATATTCATTTCCTCCATGATTCCAGGTTTAATAAATAAACAATTTTTGATTCAGTTTAGTAATTTGAAAAATATACGAAGAGTGTGCGCAGGTTGGCAGAGGGTGTCCAACAAAACCATTGTTTTAGCAGGAAAAAACAAACAATAAAATGATCTAACACAAACTTTCCAGATTTGGTGTACTTTATTAGGTGCCCAAACAGAATAAGTGACGTTTTGGCCTCACACTCTGTACTAGGTTCTCTTTGGCCAAGTTCAGTTCAGTGGGTTAAATTCAACACAATTTACAAGTTGATTTCCATACTAAAGCAACCAAAATCTCCATATCTACATAAAACACAGGCCTCAATGACACACTATGCATTCCCTTTATACAATGAGGTAAAATACTACACATGGCAGGTAGCTTAGGATGCTTAGACAAGTTTGCTGTCTGTGGCTATATCATCCCCAGGACTTACTTGAAACCCAGAGTAATCTGAATGTGCCTTTCCTGGTTAAATACTTTGTTATTATTATTTTATTCTAACCCAGATGCTTTGATCTCTAGTATTCCTTTTAGCCCTCAAAGATCTAAGGAGTTCTGAGGCCCTCCTCCACTGCCTGACCAGGGAAAAGGACTCCCTAATAAAATAGGAGGATCCGGGGCGTGGCTTGGCGGTCCGAGAAGATGGCAGCCTAACACTTACACTCTCCGCTGGCTCAACACTTAATCTCGCCAAACCTGCACTCCGGCCGCAAATATGGGTGTGCCGAGCGGCACACACACAATGGCCCACGGACACCCCTAAGGGAACCCCGACCCCCTCCATGAAGCACTACCTGGTGTCACAGGCGGACTTCGACAACCAGGTCTCCAATGACTCCACGGCCTCAGGCCTATCGAACCCGCCATCACCGAGGGGGGAGCTAATCCGCATGGAAAGCAGAATGAAGGCATCCATAGAATACACGTCCGAGTTAGTCTCCCTATTGAGAGATCTGCCAACGAGAGCTGATCTGAAAGCAGCTAATGCCGATCTGCGCACTTCTATCACCTCCGAACTCCGCGCGCTGCTGGAGGATATCCAAGGTCTCAGTCAGAAAGTGGCGCAGCTGGAAGCAGACTGCGACCACATGTCAGTGCACAGATGGCGAACACGGACAAGCTACAGCACCATAACATGATACTGCAACAATTGGCACTGCATGTCGAAGACTTAGATAAAAGGGCTAGGAGACAAAATATACGTGCCCGAGGGCTTCCTGAAGAACTGGATAAAACGACGCCAATTCAGACCACATTGCTGGAACTATTTAATAAGCTACTTACCAGGCCACCCCAAATGCACATAGGCTTCGTTCGTGCGCATAGAGCGTTGAGGCCTCAGGGACCCCCGGAGGGACCCCCTAGGGACATTATTTGCTGCCTAAAGAGCTTTCAATTAAAGGAGGAGATCCTCTGCAGGGCCCAAGGAACGGAGAAGGTGCACCTGGGAAGTACTGAAATCCAACTATTCCCAGACCTTTCCCCAGCCACCCTAGCATATCGGAGAGCAATGAGACCTCTCACCAGGCAGCTCCAAACGGCAAACATCAGATACCAATGGTGCTTCCCCACAGGAATACAAATTGCGACAGCGAAAGGCCCCTTCACGGTATCCAACGAAGATGACATGGCGAGCCTCCAAAGGGAACTCCACCTGGCACCGGAGAAACTAACGTGGCCCCATGCCTCAAAGAATCCGGAATCTCCGCATACAGAGGATACGGCCTGCGGGGACGCCTAACTAACTGATAGGGGCGCTCCGACCTCGTTACCGGCCCCAGAGAAGGATAATCACCCTTGCTGCCAATAGCTCACCTCTTCCACGCACACGCAGTGGGACAGTTCAAACCACCTCATAGAACAGTCCCCCCTCAGGGAGAAATGCAGAGGCCCTGGCAACCATACCAACTGCCTCACTGGCAAGTGGCACAACACCATCAACAGCAAGATAAGGACTTCTGCCCCAGAGACCAGGGACTATATGCTCCATCGATCACCTGTACTGCAAGTAACAGGGGAGGGGGAGGGGGGAGAGTGGTCCCTTGCTGAACGGAGAGCCTGGTATGGAGGTTCAGAGGGGTAGGGGGACTCTGGAATCCTTACGATGTGCCACTGGGAAAGGGGGTTATTGTTTTCTCACACAGTGTAATGCGGTCTGAGTGTTATGTGGGGTGGGGTGGGGTGGGGTGCGCTGACCAGGGATCTTGCCGCTCGGGGATTCCTAGACCCCTTCAACTGACTGACAAACATCATCACCAACTGCAAGAAGGGGACTTACGCCCACCGCTCACTCATACAGCGGGTGACAGGGGAGGGGGGGGCGGAGGGAGAGTGATACCTGAGTGGGGAGTCCGGAATGGAGGTCCAGATGGGTACGGGGCCCTGCAAGCCTCACGACTTGCCAGTGGGAAAGGGGGTTATTGTATTATTCTTTATTGTAATGCTACTTGTAGGTTGTGAGGGGGGGTGGCATGCGCTGACTGGGGGGAGCCCCGAGGGACCACAGTGGCAGGCGGGGCCTTTGACAGCCTGGAACCCGGGGGGGACCGGGACATTCGCCACTTCAAACTGGTGGCTGCTCAGCCCTCCCCAACAGGTTCTGCTACTTACTGTTCTGTTATGAATTACTGTTTGGGAGCGCACTTGGTCCCCTGGACTCTGCCCACTCAGGGATTCCTAGACTCCCTCGACTGCTTAACACACTTAACACACTGGCAGGGGATGTCATACGCCAAGCGGTGGAGGAATGAGGTGACGGTGGGGGAGGTGTGGGCAGGGTACATTGAGGTCCCATTTTAAGAACGACACAACTAATGCGGGGGGTCACGGGGGCGGAGGGGCTAGGACGTGAGCCAATATTGCTACCATATTGCTGGGGGAAAAATACCCGCGGGCAGGCGGGGCCTTTGACCGCCTGGAACCTGGGGGGGACCGGGACGTTCGCCACTTCAAACTGGTGGCTGCTCAGCCCTCCCCAACAGGTTCTGCTACTTACTGTTCTGTTATGAATTACTGTTAAGTTAAAGCAACTACTGGCACTTCTTTGGTGAGGTTACACAACAAGCTGCATTTAAAACACAACGAGCTGTAAGACGGGGGGGGCGGGATACTCTGACTGGGAGGAGCCACGAGGGACCATAGAGGTCCGCGACGATCTGCTAGGGAGCGCACTTGGTCCCCTGGACCCTGCCCGCTCATGGATTCTTGGACTCCTTCAACTGACCTGTTGGATTGAGCGACAAGATACAGGTGCGCAGTACCCCCTAACTCACAGGTGGGGGAGGAAGCTACTGCACCCCAATGGTCATTTCCACGTGTTGTTACTTATAACGGCACTTTCGAATACCTGACCTATATCTTAGTGAGTCTACTCCCTCCTTCCTTTCCCTCCCCTCCTCTTCCCTACCCCCTCCTACCTGACGCCACTTACCCAACTCATTGCCATGAACCTCCAGACAGACACGACCATGAACACGCCCCTAGACTGTGGACCACCCGATCTGGAGCCCTTAGGGACTTCCAAGCTCATAAGGCCTTCATTGTGTTTCTACAAGAGACCCATTTTCGAGAGCGGGTGAGGCCCACACTAACAAACCAGCATTATCCCGTAGGCTATCACAGTGACTTTCGGGGAGGGAAATCTAGGGAAGCAGCAATTCTCCTGCACAGACGGCTCCCGTTCATGGAAGAGGGCGTCATGTCTGACCCGGAGGGTCGCTTCTTGTTCCTCAAAGGGAAGATAACAGACACGTCATACACTTTTGCCAACGTTTATGCCCCCAACCAGGGACAATATAGGTTTCTAGCCAGGACACTTCGCACCCTCAAGCGTTTCGCGGAGAGGGTCGTGGTACTGGGGGGGGACATAACCCTAATACCAAAAGAGGGAAAGGAACAGTGTGGGAACTATCGAACCATATACCGCATAAACACCAACCTCAAACTCCTGGATAAGGTCCTGGTGACCCAGCTCCAACTGCACATTCCATCCTTGGTCCACGAGGACCAGGTGGGATTCGTAATGGGACGTGAGGCCAGAGATAATGCTATCCGGGCCCTCACACTCATGCATGGGCGGACAGGAGACAACGGAGGCCTTCTCCTGCTGTCCACAGACGCGGAGAAGGCCTTCGACAGGGTCTGCTGGGACTATATGTTCCGGATTCTAGCACACATGGGCATGGGACCAATCCTTCAGGGCTGGATCAAGGCCTTATACACTCAGCCAACAGCACAGATGGTGGTTATTGGGGTGCTCACAGAAGCTTTCCCAATCTACAACGGAACGCGTCAGGGATGCCCCCTGTCGCCGTTACTTTTTGTCCTGGCATTGGAACCCTTCCTGACACACATAAGACGCCATCCAGACATAACAGGAGTCAAAACGCTAGACACGCACCATAAAATAGCCGCATATGTGGATAACCTTCTGTTCTTCGTAACAAACCCGGAAGTATCCCTTCCCAACCTACTACGGGCATTCCAGACTTTCGGGAACATATCAGGCCTCAAGATCAGCTTCACCAAATCTTATATTCTGAACCTGGATATCCCCACACAGAAGGCGGCTCCACTCCGCCAGAGCTACCCATTCCAATGGGCCCAGGGTAAAATACGATACCTGGGCACCTGGTTGACGGGCAAAGAAACAGATCTCTACACGGCTTATTTCACCCCGCTGCAGTCCAAATTCCGAACAGAAATGAGGGAATGGGCTCTCCCACACATATCCTGGCTGGGCAGGATACAAGTCGTAAAGATGAATTTCCTGCCCAGACTGCTCTTTCTCTTTCAAGCCCTACCTATTATACTGCCACATTCCTTCTTTACTACACTTCGACGGGCACTAGGGGAATTCGTGTGGGACGGGAAGAGACCCAGACTGAAGTATACCCTACTCACACAACCCAAAGACCGGGGTGGCCTAGCCCTACCTGACTTCATGCTTTATTACAAGGCGTGTCACCTACAATGCATTATGGAGTGGTCTAAATCGGGGGTCACTAAACTCTGGAAGATAGCAGAGGAGGCGAGGGCAGGCGTCCCGGTGGCGCATCTCCAGTGGCTCACCAGGTGCGAAGGGGGTGTGGAGAGACATTACTCGGTAAACACCAAAGCGACACTGCAGGTGTGGCGCAGTAACGCAGGAAGACATGCCTTATCTACGCACCCATCCCCACTACTCACTCTCACCTATAACACAGATTTCCCGCCGGGCATAGACCCGGGGACGCTGAGGACACTGATCAGAGACCCATTACCAAGGTTGAGACACATATGCACCAAACAGGGACTAAGGGACTGGGCGGACATAAGTAAAGATGCAGACCAATCCTTCCTAACCCGATTTAGATATGAACAAATATGCAGCTTTGTTAAGACCCTCCCACAGGGAGCAAACCTAGGTAGAGATCTCACAGTCTTTGAAAACGTGTGCAGACCCCAGCCCACTGCCGCTCAGTGTGTCGCTCATATACTCCACACTACAGTTACACACGCCAGTTGCACCACCAAAATTCATGGGAAAAATGGGAGGAGGCCCTACAACAGACCTTTAGTGAGACAGAATGGGAAAAGATCTGCCACATCACCCACCACTGCTCAGTTTTCAGTAAAAGTCAGGAGACTGCATACAAATTACTATCACATTGGTACCGCACACCCGACACAATACACCATATAACCACATACGGATCCCGCTCCTGCTGGAGATGCAACAAGGCAGTTGGCACACCCCTGCACATATGGTGGGAGTGTGAGAACATAAAGCCCTACTGGCGAACCATACACAAAACACTCTCCAGATTCTCCAACAATCCACCACCATTGGAACCAGCAGCCATGCTATTACATCACACAAACACCCCCATAACCAAATATAAAAAATCACTTACAATTCGGATTTTCAACATAGCAAAGCAGACCATCCCAATAATGGAAGAAAAATGAGACACCGTCTGTGCAGGGGTGGTTCAACCAAATGGAGGAACTAAGGGCAATAGAGGAACTCACTATGCTGACGGCAGGACCGCAGCAACAGACATATCTGGACATTTGGACACATTGGATACTGATGACAGCCCAACCCGAATTCTTGACACTTCTACATGGACACACGACTTAAGACACACGACAAAAGGATGTACTGACAGACAGCACACCCTCTCCCTCCTCCCCTCGCCTGAGCCTACCCCCTTCCCCAACTCACCCTACACAAGCTGCCCGAGGAAGTGGGAACTCCTGAGAGGAAGAACAAGGTCCTACTCAAAATAAAGGAGCGGACACTCGCACCCCAGAAAGGCAAGAGGAACATCTGGGCTAGATAACCTGCAGAGACGCAATGGAAATTTCAGAATACAGAGAAGGGAAACAGCCACACATAATAGAAAGACAACGCTACTTAGGATGCCCAAATCAGATCGGGAGGAATAAGCCCGCGGGCTCACAGACCGACTACCAAGGGGGAACCCGAGATAAGGGAGTTATGGACCCACACTCTGGGAGGGAGGGTGGGCACAGACTCTGCCCAACGCGCGAGGTAGGCTCCCTGACACACATGATATCTGAATAGTACGACCTTCGCAAAACAAAGCAAATGTAAATAGTTCAGGTAGAATCCGGATATTATCCGAAGATACTATCCTACTGAATGTAGAGTACAGGACCTGCGAGTCCGACACTACAGTCTTATAAATGTCAAGGTGTGACCTGCGTGTCACTGATGCATATTCATATGTTGGTTATCTCTTTTTTTTTTCCTTCTTCCAACATGACAGGGACCTGCGAGTCCCCATTGATGCTCATTATGTCAGACAATGTAGGCACTCAACTCTTAAATTAGCATGTGACCTACGTGTCACGGATGCCCGATCTTAAGTTTAATTCTTGTTCTTTCCTTCTCTTCAGTTACATGGGACCTGTGAGTCCTTAATGTGGTCTTTTATAATTGATAAGAAAAACACTTGACAATGAAAACACTCAATAAAGAAAATATTTACAACAAAAAAAATAGGAGGATCCAATAAGGTGATCTTGGGCTTAATAGTAAAGAAATTGGGATTCCACTGAGCAACATTGCTTGAAGTTAAGTTCAATACGGATTGGGTTGCCCCTCTACACTCCATCACTCCCTAATGAACACCTTCACCGTGATTCATTACATCCCTCAGCCTCACCCCTCTGTCAGTCTCTACACTGGCTTCCTGTTTCAGTTAGGGTTCAGGTCAAAGTTCTCATGGTTATCTACAAAGCTCTCTATAACTGTGTCCCTGCTTATATCTCCTCCCTTCTTAGCAGATATGTTTTAAAGGACCACTATAGTGCCAGGAAAACGTACTCGTTTTCCTGGCACTATAGTGCCCTGAGGGTGCCCCCACCCTCAGGGTCCCCCTCCCGCCCGGCTCTGGAAAGGGGAAAAGGGTTAAAACTTACCTTTTTCCAGCGCTGGGCGGAGAGCTCTCCTCCTTCTCTCCTCCTCCGTTCCTCCTCCTGGGCTGAATGCGCATGCGCAGCAAGAGCTGCGCGCGCATTCAGTCGGTCGCATAGGAAAGCAATTACAATGCTTTCCTATGGACGCTTGCGTGCTCTCACTGTGAAAATCACAGTGAGAAGCATGCAAGCGCCTCTAGTGGCTGTCAATGAGACAGCCACTAGAGGATTAGGGGGAAGGCTTAACCCATTAATAAACATAGCAGTTTCCCTGAAACTGCTATGTTTATAAAAAAAAATGGGTTAACCCTAGCTGGACCTGGCACCCAGACCACTTCATTAAGCTGAAGTGGTCTGGGTGCCTAGAGTGGTCCTTTAACTGGCTTCTTTGCTCTGCCAGTTACATGTTACTATCCTGTTCTTGTACCTGCACCCCAAGCTCTTTCCTGCTTCCCCAGGTCTGCCCCATCCAAATTTGACTCTCTTCATCTCTGAAATCCTTTAAAAATCATTAAAAGCACACTTCTTTAGAGAAGTCTATCAGATCACCCCTTAACTCTTCACCCCTTACAACCTTCCACTGATGTCTTCCATTTACAGTGCTCCTTCATCCCAAACGCCCCTGCTTTCCTTTCAGGTATATAGATTGGATACCCTTACTTACCTCTGTGCATTAACAGACGTTTATGCCTATATATACACAGGGAGCACGGAAACTTTAGAGCCCAACCTATCTATGCCAAATAACACAATATGCCCATCCTATGCATGGATATGTACTGTGAAGTGGATTTCTTGAACAGTGAGACTCACTGAACCTTCACATGATGTCAATAGAAGACTTTCAGTAAGTGTTGAAACAGTATCATTGAAAGAAACAGACTGCCAGAGTTGTATTATTGCCCCTTCACCATGTCTAATGCTGGTAAAAAGTAAATCTCAGCAACCAGTTAATTTCCAATAACTTCAATCGGAATTCGCCCTGAAGATAATTTGTGATATTTTGGGAGCCATTTTGTGGTATATATCATTTTTGTGTGGTCCTACCCAAGTGAAGAATTATAAAGCTTGGAAGCGTCATTAAAGTCCAATAGGTTGGATTAAATATACCATTCTAGAAGACTGTTTTATGAGTTTATCTACTCTTGTCAAGCGGTTGAAGTAGCAGCATCATTCATCATATATAAAGATTGTGGTTGGCACATTGGCAGTAAATATACCTGTAGAATGCTAATAATTTTATTTACTTTTGTATGTACTCTTTGAGACAGCCTCTTCTTAATTTCGATCTTTCAGCTGCTTAGTAGATAGTACACTAAAGTAGTAAACGTATGTGGGATTACCATATTTAAGAATAGCAAATTAAGGGAGTTATCTACTGAACAGTTTAAAGATGAAAATTAAGACAATTCGCAATTTGTTATCCTTAAATATTTCAATCCTACATAAATATACTATATTAGGGAGCTATCTACTAAGCAGCTGAAAGATCAAATTTAGGAAAAGTCCCTTTCATTGTTTAGTAGATAACTCACAAATTTGCTATCCATATCAAAACAAATGGATCTGAAATGATTTTTT